CCACCTCGCCGTTTTATGAAGCGTGTTTTACTCAGTAAAGTTTGAGTAAATGGTGTTTTTTCTGGAAGGGCATTCGAACTGGGAGGTCGTCACTTGGAAGCCTGCTTGGGAGCACGCTTGGCCGGTATTAACCCCGCTGCACAAAGATGGCCGCGCACACTTGGTTTGAAACGGCCTCCCTAGAAAATGTTTCAGGGTGGTCGAGCACCTCTGGCTGCTTCGGAAGATCGCCGGCCGCAATCCTTTCGCGGCCCCTGGACGGTGGGAGCAGGTGCTGCCTTCTTGAAGCCAGCGGGCGCGATTTGTCTACGCGAGCGGTCCGTGAACGGACTTAAATTTTGTTGGGCTACTTGTTGAGCTACTGTGAGTGTGAAACATGTCTTTAATATGGAAAGGAGGATCACCTGCCTTGGCCGAGTAGGTCTTAAGCAGGAGGGGTAGGGTTATTTGGGTTGGGGGGGCTACGTTGTTTTACTTTGTTTGCTAATTACTTTGTTTTACTTTTTTGCTAATTACTTTGTTTTACTTTGTTTGCTAAATTTGTTGGGCTACTAAATGAGCTCTTGTTCGTATGCTTCGCTTTGTGATGGGGTACCTTGGCGCTTGTGTACACTGCGCGACACCGTTAGCGCGAACAATCAATAGCCTGTTTTTTATGTTTTCATCTTAAATTCGAAGGGCTCCCACCTACCTATTAGTGTGAGAGAAAGCGTTTGTTTCCGGCACTAATCTGAGCGACAAAATTCGAGCGCTCTCGATAGCTGTCAAAGGAATAAACTGTAAATAAAGACGTGTTTATTCTGTTCGTGTTAACAGTGGCACGTAGTGTACGTATCTGCCTTGCGGGATGACATAAAACCACTTTGCTTCGCTACACTTATTTGTTTTTTAATTGCGTTTTTTTTTTGGCTTGAGCTTCTACATATATTTTTAGCCTTACTTGTGCTACGATGTTCGCTACAGGTGCAATGGAACGTCACGCAATACAGGCTACTTTTACAATGCTGAAGCCAACAGTAACACTTAAAAGTAAACATGTTCGACAGAAATCTGTCTGGTTTGGGGAACAATTAGAAAAAAAAAACTCAAACCAAAAGTTTAGAAACAAAGAGTTTTCAAAGTTTCGAGGTCGACTTGGCTCCTTCTTCAGGGGTGACTAAAATGGAAGGGGACAGCGCGAGCTTCGACCTCTCCTTCCTCCTCTACCGAGTTGATGTTTTGTGAACGTGACACGGGCCATGGACGTAAATAGATGGTAAAGCCCGAGGGACCTGTTAATGTTCCCCGGTGTGTTCTGGATATCCCGTACGAAAATGTCAGAGAAGGCCCTGATATATTTTATATACGGCCATATATGATACTATAAGCCGTCAGATATGGCCATATTCCGCCATATATGGGAGCAAATACGGTCATATTTCGCCGTATAGGTGGGCAAATACTGCCAGATGTGGCCATATAAGTGCGTAAATACGGTCTAATATCGCCATATACGCGTGCAAATATAGCCCCTGATAATGATATATGGGCCCGTTTCGGTCGTCCAAGCAATAAGTCATATGTACTCGCTTAGACGCTAGTTGATTGATCTATATTGCATGAGTCTCATGTAATTGGTTAACTATTGTTAACATCCTTAAAGTGAAGTTATTCCAGGTATTTGGACCAATTAATCAATTGCGCATATTGAAGATTTGAAGATAAGAGACAGAAACATTGCGCGGGCGCCTTACCGAAACCGCTAGCCTTGTACCTGCTCCACGAGTGGTAACTTTAGTGCACTTTTGCGCTTCTCACGCGCTGAAAAGTTTTCTGAAAATGACTGATTTATGGATTTTGGACGACGCTCCTCACTAACTGTAAAGTTAAGTAGTGAATTTCAATTAATTAGCCGACTTATCGCAAAGATTAGCCACCCAGATAATGTCCCCCTGGGCGTATAACTCACTCGCACAAACCGCATAAGTGTAGCTTTCATGACTTCATTTAAAAACGTATCTGCAAGAATAAAAAAAACACCCTGTACATGAAGGTTGCATTATTTGATTGGGGCATATCTGCCCTGATATGGGAGGCAGATATACCCTTATTTGGCAGACCCAGATATGTATATATAAAAAAATTGGGCAGATCTGGCTAGATAAGCCTTATATAAACTGACGTGCTTTATATGGCCAGATATGCCCAATTTTTTATATAACCATATTTCTTTTTACTTAAGTCCAGATTTGCTATTTTGTAAGAGATGCCGCGACTCCAAGAACAGGCGTTTTCGAATATGTGGCTCCGTGTCTATCACGTGCGCGTTCCCGAAGTCGATCTTATGATCAAAGACCTCACAATGTTCCGCGACGGGGCCGCTCGCGATCGAAATTGCGCACATCGTTCTGGTGCTACCGCATGCGTTCGGGAAAAGATTTAGTTTTACCGATGTAGGCGGCGGGGCACTCTGCACACGGTATCTTATAGACCACGCATTGTGCTTTCTCTTTTGGGAAGCGATCTTTCGGCCTTGGCATGAGCCGTCCCAATGTTGACAATGGCTTGTGCGCCACATGGATCCCTTCTTTTCCGAGCACACGCACCAGTGCCTCGCTCGTCCCTTTTCCATAGGCGCGCGATGTGGCCGGGCTGTGTGTCACCCGACGATCCATGGTTATTGCGCGTGCAGCACTGTCGACGGGCGACGCGTTGAACAAAACTCCTTGAATAACCGATTTTTTCAAGGTGAGCAAGTATGGTTTGTTTCTCCTTTCTTTTGTCTCTTTCCGAGGAGCAGATGGTCATGGCTCTAGACAAGAGAATAGAGACCACGTCAGTGGTCTCTACTCTCTTGTCTACTGCGGTCGACAAAGTACCATGTGGCTACTCCAGTCGACAAAGAACCATGCAAAACGTATCGTCACCGGGGACAGCAACTCTCTGCGCCGATGTGACGGTTGCTGAGATTTGAAGACCCGTTTGCAGAGCAGCAGGTCCTTCTGGCAGCGGGATTGCCTCCTATAGGATTCCTCTTCCACGTTGGCAATGTCCAACAGACCGCCTTTGGAGAGGAAGCCTCGACGCTTCCTGGCATGTGTGATACAAATTATAGGTTCGGTGTCTCTCCAGCTTTAATCTCCTTAGTAGAGGTATCCTTCCTTGAGAACAGCGGGAATTTATCGTGAAAGTGCTCTGCTAGCCTTGCACAACACTGTAGTCGTCGTATTAGGGTGTACTCGCAACGCGCAAACTTTCTTCTTTATTTTCTTTCATTTTTCTATTTCGAATACGTAAGTACATTGATATATCTCGTTTCACTTTTTAGTAGCAGAAGCTACAAGTAGGGCGCCTACATGTCTGTCTGTTCGAGGCTGAAGACATCCATTGTTGCACTGAATGTGCCAGCGCGTGACGCTCTCGCGCACTTCGTGCGTGACTTGGGCGGTAAAATGGCGTCTACGCATTAGCCAAAGCTGCGCGCTCGAGCTGAGTGACACCGGATTCCACGCACTTCAATATGCATAAAAAACTGATTGGACGGGAAAATGGCTGAGATGTTACCACTCAAGGAAAAGTGCGCCTGTGTATGAAAGCACTCTAGTTACAAGAGCAAGTGCCGGCCCTCCAGCGTCCCTGTCCAGCACGCGCGCTCGTGCAGTTTAAGTATCGTTTAGAGCAACAGGCTCGTGCTTCTACCTTCGTCTTTGCTCGCACACAAACAGTGGTGATGATTTTTATATTTTATAGCTTAATATTCTTTGGGTGTGTGCCTACACTCATTTTGTGTTTATTGTTCTTGCCTTCGTCCTTACTACCTTTACAAAAACGCCCCCCCCCCCCTTTCACTCTATTGCGGTTGTCGTTTAGTTTCTTTTTTTTAATTACTAGTACAATAAACGTTTATTCGTGTGGCTGTGTACGCGTTTTTTTTCGAACACTCTTGAAACGCTCTTACGCTGTAGAGAAACGGTCTGCTAAAACGCCTTTTTGGACCTCCGCTCTACGTTCCGGTGTAATGGGCCGCGTATGCGCAGTTTGGCACACCTCGGAGCGGAACGGAAAATGAAGACGCTCCAGTAGAACTCTCTAGTGTGTGCAGACTGTCTTCTGTATGACGTACTAGTAGTGTGACCAGCGTATAAGAGTACGCCACCGAAACATATCGTAGTTAATGCCCCAAAAATTTTAAGAGGGGGGGGGGGGGGGGGGCTGAAATGTCTTTAACAGTACGCCACCGAAACATCTCGTAGTTAATGCCCCCAAAATTTTAAGAGTGTGTGTGTGTGTGTTTGGGGGGAGGGGGGGCAAATGTTTCCAATGCAGCCTCCTCCGGACGCGTGTGGTTCGAGTCGAACACTGACGCAGCACTCGTGTCGAATTTTTGCTTTACGGTGACCTTCTTTAGCGACGTAGGAATATGCAGCACCAATACTAAAGGAGGTGCAGGCAGATCGGAGTGGGCCAAGGAGCCCCCTTCTCCACTGGCCAGTTTCATCAGGTTCCGGTCGCTCTTATAGGTGGCGCAGCATATATCGAAAGCCACGTGCTCCGCAGCTCGTGTTTTATTCGTGCAGTACTTGTAGAGGGACCCGGAGACATGTGCCTATTTTATTCTGCAGTAATTTTCCCCGGAAGTCGCCTTATTTTTATTAAACCTTCCACGTGCTTAGGAGACCTGGAGCAATTCCCGTCGCAGTTATCCACTCGACAAGTCTGACCTGAGGAAAATATGTATCTCAATCAAATTTCGGCCTTCCTCTCACCCGTCCACGTAACATTAGGGATATCAATTGAATTAACCGACTTCTTTTCTGTCCCAAGGGGAGCTAAGCTTGGCGTGTTCTTTTTCGAGGACGATATTAATCGTTCCAAAACGTAATGTGCAGCGTATATCTGTTGCCTAAGTCATACTATAATAGTTGACAAATAATACTAGTCAAAGAGAAACGATATAGTATGGGTGTTTATTCGTAGCAAATAAGGAAAACTTGAATCATTGAATCCTTTTCCTCTTCCAGGTCCACCGAATTGGGGCTGCCCCGAGTCGGAGATCGCGTGCTCGAACCACTGCTTCAGCATTGGGTACAGAGTGGGGGAATGCAGAAACTTCCCCTTCTTCACTGACTGCACGTGTCTTAATCCTATTTAGCCACGTTGCCCTCCTACATTTCAATAAAATGATTCCATGATGGTTCCTCCTGCTATGAATTTACAATGTTTTCTCTGCGTCGGATCCTGCGCCACCTCTTTTCCACGAAAGCGCAGCCATCTTGAATATCGTCACTTCTCGTATGCGACGAAACATCGTTTTGATCTCTCCACGTCGCAGGAAGGTGTTTACCAAAAAAAAAAAAAAAAATCGTGATAGTCACATATTCTTGTTCTGCCTGACGTATATTTCCACCCGTATTCCAGTTTTAAATGTTTTACCATTTTTTGTCCGGAATACCAGGGACGGAACCCACCTGACTGAGAACGACAGGAAGCAGAAAACGTGTGTATTCGCGTTAATAACGCCTGGACCTCTCTGTTTACATGTGCTATCTCTACGTCTGGAGGGGTGTATTTTCCCCGCAAGATACGCCGAGGCGCAAAACAAACGTGATATAAATTGCAGACGCTCCCCACGAAGGTGATGTCTTCTCAAAGAGCGATTTGGTTAGAGAATACTATCAGTTCCCGGTAAAACGGCACGTAATCCCTAGGACAATCATTGTCACGCCTTTTAAAATGTTTGAAATACCACCGGATGGATTAAGTATACGACTGCGTGGATTGCCTTCTGTTTTATGTATACCGGATGTTTCAGCGATTAAATAAATCCTACTATAATAGGGTGGCTGAGAGAAAAATATATATTGGTGGATTCTTAAACCGGGGTCACACTGCTTATACATCATACGAAAGAAAGTCTGCACACATCAGTGGTTCGAATGCCGCGTGCCAAGTTTCTCCTTGAACTCGTAGCCATGTGGCATTCGAAGCACGGATCTCATGGTGGCTTGCCTTCGAATTTGTAGGCAGACTGTCTTTTGTACTATGTATGGGCAGTGTGACCCCGTCTTTAAAAATTGCGTTAGCATTACACTTGGGAAACGCCACACACGTCCCCTTTTGGGTGATGCTGCTTTTGACCCATTGTATGTTTTGGCTTTTTCTTTTTGGCTTTCTCTTTTGCTTCCTCTATTTTTTGCTACATCTTTTGGGTGGCTTTGTTACGGGGTCAGTGTTAGCGTCTCCCAAAGATGGACGAGTGTGGGAATTAAAAAACAAAAAAAAGTCAAAGAATCTTTATTTTTTGTTGACGTCTAGAATGTCTACCTCGCGCCTGAACGGGCATAGACGAGGAGTTCATGCTCTCTCTGTCACGTCGGTCACGGGCTAGCTGTGATAGCGAAGTATCGCGGCCTCCTTTTGGGGGTCCGATGCGATCTATATCTAGCTCGGCTTGCCGCGTTTCGACCAGCCAAGCTAAGCGCTACTTCAGCTCCTCTGTCTCGTTCGCCCGCCTTGCAAGCTTAGCAGTGACATCCGCTGCCTGACGCTACTTTCGCTGTTCACCGGTTTCGGCAGCCCGTCTCCTTCGCTCGCAATCCTTCTTTTGCCGCCTCCTTGGACCAGCGCTATAACTTGGTTCACGCTCCATTTTGTAGCACAAACCAGAGCATACGCACTCCGCACACCTGCAGGTTCAGACAGGCCCCAGCATGCGCGCGGATTGGCTTCCGCCCCGTGACGTCACCTCCCTCTCGCCTTTGTCCTTCGCTACTCTCCTCCTCTCTACGTGGCGCCCTTCCCTTTCCACTGTTTCGTCCAGGGACGGACGCCGTCAGCGTTTTTCTGTCATGCGTTGAGTTACTAATGCTTACGCACTAAAAATAAATTCTTTTCGGGAACAAACTGCCAGCCCGGCGGAAGTCTGGGACTGAAAAGAAAAGAGACAAACTACATGTGGTTTCAATTAGAAGCTTGCTGAGCGTCATCGGAGACCCCTAAATTAGTCAATGTTATGACGACCCTTACGCGTGAAGCGTAAGGGTGTGCTGAAGTTACCACTCGTGCATCAGGTACGAGACTGGCAAGACGAGAACGCAGATTTTAACAATATCAATCGCGTTTTCGCATCGCAGATCTTTTTCTTTTTTTCTTTCTAAAAATGGAATTTTAAGATTTTACTATACTCGGCGACAACTTTTCTTGGCAATGCAGTAAAAGGTACAGGCTCGCGTCCCCTCTCCCATTTTGAGTGTGCGCGGGCTCTCCTCCTCTCCCCGGAAATGGGGGAGGAGGAGAGCCTGCGTACACTCAAGATGGGAGTGGGGACGCGGGCCTGTACCTTCCAATGCATTGCCAAGAAAAGTTTTCGCGGAGTATAAGGTAGGCTGAAACCGCCCCACATGTTTCTTTTCCGGCAAAATGTTGATGGCCATTGATTTTTAAGAAAAGTATCATCATGTACTAAATATCCGCCCGTAGTACATCTATAAACTATTTAATCTAAATATTCGTTTTTTTTTTTTGGAAAATTGAATTTTGAAGTTTGCTCGTACACCTCCGAGTCACTTGCTGCCGCCCTTCTGGCCACAACGAGCCAACAATTCGGGACGTCAAATGTGGTGTCCGAGAGCAGATGACGCTCCCTACCCCACGCAGTTGTGCCTTGTGGTGATAGGGAGCGTCTGTGATTTAGCGAATTGCTTCTGGTTTAGGCTATTTGCTGAACGCGATGAAGGGTGGCGGAATTAGTGACTGGCTATGGGGTGCGATAACACGAAAAAATGCAGCAGTGTGACGTGTTATTGGTTTCCGACCGAGAAGTCTTTGCGACGGAAGTGGGTCCGAGCAGTCTGACTCGAGCGCTGAGTCCCAACGTTTGTGCCGTGCTAGAAAACAGTTCACACCTTGCTAGCAAATTAAACCTTCCATGCTGTTATGCTTGGAAGTGGCATCTGGTTTCACATGTCGGCACATCACGAAGGCAGACTCCACAGGAACCGCCGGCACTACCTCCTCAGGGGCGATGCCGGTGGATCGAATCCGAACGGCGAATCGTCTGAAATTTCGTGCCGAAAATCTTCAAACATTTGCTGGTCATTGCTTGACTATAGAGATATACCTTTCCAGCAACAGTCTCGAACGAAGCGATTTACAGCGCGCGTCCCAAGTTTTTGAGAGTGTACGTCAGTGTTGCCTGACTGGGCTGGGCTGTGGGTTTTCTCATCAGCGGGCTGTGGGGCCTGTGTGGGCGCAATTCCGGGCTGGTGGCGTCTAAATTGCCACGTTTCATTGTTTATTTCGTGCTCTATGGCGAATAGAATTTCTCAAGGTTTTTAACGAAGCATTGTGCTCCTTTTGGAAACGAAAACAAACAAATGAAAGCTATTTTTGTGAGGCTATGCGTGACAGAACAAAGTCAATCAGAATGTGTTTTTATGTTGATTTTTTACTGCGCCATACACTCAGCCGCGCAACCTACAAAGGTCTTAACTGTCGAAAATATGGGACCACATAGGATAGCCGAAAAGCATGGGTATTCCCCGCTCACAATATGAAATTCAACCAGTTTCCTCAATCGAACAACATACTTTACGTACCCCACTGTGCAGCGTTATCTGAACAGGATATTTTTTGAAAAAGATCCCAAATACCACAGCGTATCCCGTATACAGTGTCGACGAGTCACTTCAAGACGAACGGATGGAATCCGGCTCGTCTTTGGGCACATTTTGAAGAGACCTGCTTTTTACAGCGGAGCTGTTAAGGGCTAGGCTCACAATGGATCGTGCCCGGTACCAAAGATCTTGTCGACACAAACCTCTGGACAGGTACCGCCATCTATAAGCGACGGCGGCAAGCACACAACCAGTCTGGTGGCCGCCGTCGCTCGTAGATGGCGGCAGCCTTCCCAGCTATCATAGAAGAATGGATAGTTGGGTAAAACAGACAAGGACGAAGAAGAAACACACATGACGAGCGCAGCGCTCGTCACGTGTGTTTCTTCTTCGTCCCCGTCTGTTTTGCGCGCTGTTTCCTGCGTTTTTATCAGTTTCGGTTTGGACTCAGGATGGACGTCTGCTTGCCCATTCGGGGAAAGAAGACTGGGTGCGGCAAGAGCGGTGACGTACGCAGCAGCGCGAATGGGTCCGCAATCGACGTGAAGTCGCTGTCGCCTCGACTTCCACTACGTCCACCGCTTTAGACTCCCTTGCGAAAGAAGAGCGCATCCCTCGCCTGGAAAGCCGCCGCCGAGAACACAACCAGCGATGTAAACGGCGCCGGCGGGCCACGGAGGCCAAGCGCAAGCTCGAGGCCCGGCGACGACAGCACTCCACGCCGGCTAAACAGTTCCCGGATGCGACGGCGAAGTTCCGGAGGGAGTTCGTGGAGAACCCGTTTGGCGTCACGTGTGCCGTGTGCGACCGACTCTGGTTCGCCGGAAACGTATCCGCGATCGGCGGCGTGTCGGACGAGAAGAAGCGGGAAACGGGCGCGTGCCCGTTGCTGCAGTGTATCGAGTCGGTGGACGTCTACAAATAACCGGCGTGTAGAACGTGCCGAGACTCCCTGCTCAAAGGCGCGGTGCCCCGGTTCGCGACCCGTGAACGGCTAAAAGTACCCACCCGTACCGGAGCACCTACCGAGTGGCGCCTTGACTCCCATTCATGAGGTTAACGTGGTATAACAAAGAGAACCGGGGACAGTACGGTTCTCACATAAGCAATTACCCAATCACACCTTAATCCTTACATTTATAGATACTTAATTTCCACCATAGTACAGCTTCGATGGGCTTCCTTCTTGTGATTGCCTGAAGCTGAGCAGGTTGGTTATTAATACTTGTAAATACGGCAGCTGAACGGAGGAAGAAAAATGCAAAACCGAGAGTCACAATGAACGTACACATGCACCCCGCTGGTGCATGTGTATGCACCTTCTTCGTTCTTCACGAGAGTAGAAGGGCTGAATGTTTTTGCACAACACCAAAGCAAATGAACGAAACTGTCTATTCCTTCCCCATACCCCTGACCCTATCAGCTATCTTTAGCGAAGACCGGGAACATAGCCGGGAAGAATTTTCGGAGCTTATCTCGACGGAATTAATTCTCGAAGGGCGTCGAACGACCCGCGTCGTGGGCTGCTTGACGTTCGCTCTTTTTGTTCGTTTTCTCCGAAGGCCGAGCAGGCTACGAGCCCTGGTATTCCTTGGT